GTCGTTCGCGTTCCGAAGGAAAACAAACAATCGTAATTACAAAATGTCCGCGTCCCCGAGGCCATCAACCCGAATAGATCAAACACAATCCGCGTCCCTGGGGCAAGAAGCCATTGTAAATTATGAAATGCTTGCGCCCCCCGAGACCATGAGCCTTCGCAAATCATGCAACATTCGCGTCCTGAGGCATTCAATCCCGAGCCCATAAGCCGTTGTAACTTACGCAATGTGTGCGTCCCCGAGGCCGTACATCTCATTTCAAAAGTACGCCTTTTCCGTGTCCCAGAAGCCACAAATAGTGGTACGTTGTATTATATGTGCGCCCTCCAGGCCATAAACCTTGTGTGATGTCAAAAAGAAACTCGCCCCCGGGGCCAGGATTCCTTGTGAATTGCAGCCAAAAGCCCTAATAAGCACGCGCGGTAAGGACGCAAGACCCTTGGAAGCCGAAGTTGGGATTTCTGGGGCGGCGGACGACGAAAACCTCGAGGACGCAAGATCAAGGAAGAGCAAGGACGCAAGGGTACCCTGAGCAGAGTCGCGTCCTTATTAGGGTTTTTGTCTGTACAGCGCGCTCGCGCCCCCGAGGCCTCAGTTCCTTCCGACAGATGCCGAAGAGCCCGAAGGCCGCTCCACCCGCACGGATTCCCCACTCTACAGGGCAGCTTTTAATACATAGGATGTTTAAACAAATATGAGATTCTTAATAATTACATGGTTAGTTTATGAGTAAATTCATGCATGAACTCGTCGTTGTTGTTAATACTAAACCCTTGCATTTCTAACACATGATCCGCACGCGGAGCATGTATAAAAAAACGGTACTCTGGCCTCAAGCAGCCCCCAGTCTTTCCAAGAGGGCCTCCACGGCACAGCATGCGGGGACAAATCCAACACGCAGCACCGAGTTCAGCAATATCGCACGAAAACGTCTACATCTCTCTTGCCGACTACTTCTCGTCCTTGCATGCGGTTCCGACACTAGTTCGAGGCAGCGTCCAGGCCTCACGACGTAGCCCTTGTATGATCCATTATCTGAGAAAGGGGGCGGCGATAGGGGGCGAAATCCTCATCGACCTACACCCCCTCCCCTGGGAGACCGGCAGCCAAGCACGAACCATGCTCACACACCCCCACCATCCCTTTCAAAAACGAAACAAAACGCACTCAGCCTCCAAATTCGGAGCATGCGCAACCAACCAGATGCGCCCCCCCCACCATCCCCGACAGAAAACAATACACAGTACTCGTTGGGCCAACCTCTGGAGTCATGTTCGTGAGGCCCGCAAGTACTTTGTATTGTTAGTTGAACGGGATGGCGGGGGTGTCAGCATATTGTCTGCTGAGCGCAGTGGTACCGTCCCTGACAAACCACAAAACAAAATACACCTCGCGGCTGAATCTGGATCGTGTGCGGCCACCCCGCGATCATTGTCAAGTGGTTTTTCACGGGACGGCGGGGGTGGTGGCGGGTGGCCTGCTGTGCGCAAGCCCGCCAGACACGATGATGGGCATTTGTTTTAGAAGAGGATGGTGGGGGCCGACATGTTTCCCGATGTGTGCTGTCACGTGCGCAGGCGCACCTGCCGCACTGTGCACGTGCCCCGAACGTGGCGCACCTGGCGCGGCTGTGCCCTGAGACACACAAATAAATACGCACAACTTCACAGAATTCCCAATATTCTCCCAGATGTTCTGGGTTTCTGTCTTCCCCCCCACTTCCCATATTTTCCCATATGTTCTAAGAATCGACGATGAATTGTATCTGTGTGTTTTTGTCCCCTCATGAATCTTGTTTGCTCGATCTCCTCCAGGATGGCCCCAAGAGCGCTCCCAAGGCTCCCAAGAGCGCCTCAAGAGGGCCTGAAGATGCGCCCAAGAGGCCTCCAAGAGGCGCCCCAAGAGGCCTACAAGAGGCTCCCAGGAGGCCCCAAGAGGCTCTCCGAGGCACCCCACGACGCTCCAAAAGGCCTTCCGGGCCAGCCAAGAGGCCCCTAACACGCTCCACGAGGCCTCCAGAAAGCTTCCAAGAGACATCCGAGGACACCCTGAGAGGCAACTTGGCTGGGCACCATTTCTGGATGACCTGGTAGGGATACGCGACGCGTCAAGCATTTAACCTCGTTGGAGTTGCACTCTGAGCTATGTGCGGATTTCGGCTGCTTCGGCCTCATGGGGGCCCGTCTCGGGCCCAGGGGCCATTCCCAAGAACGACCCGCGGCGGAAAGCCGGCTCCAATGGTGGAGTCGACAACTCCGGGGGGGCCCGCGTCGTGTGCAGTCCATGGCTCGGGAGGGCCGGGGGGGGGGGAGGGAGCGGGGAGGTCGCTTGGACGGTCGCCGCTGCCACAACAGTCATGCCATCAACGTCAACCCTTTGACACGCATGGCAACTCGGGGGTGGAGACCTCGTCCCACGTCGGACCAACACGGGAAAGCGGGGAGCTAGGAGTGAGCTGAGAGGGGGAAGGCGGCGGAGGGGGGGGCGGGGAGAGGGGGGG